GAGAGAGAGAGAGAGAGAGAGAGAGAGAGAGAGAGAGAGAGAGAGAGAGAGAGAGAGAGAATGAAAGGAAGGTTTTATTAAGCTGTCACACTGTATTTCGACAGTATGCAAATTTAGCATCTATTCCCAACAACTTGATTTCAAAAACTCATTCATGAGAGAAACTTGTAGTTAAAATCAACAGCTTGTTGTTATAACTGACAAGGATTGATGACAGTGATGTTGCAAATATGGCAGGTTTTACTTGTGTGATTCAGTCCACTGTCTTCCTAGCAGATCAAATTCAATTATCATTTATAGCTTATTGTGAGACTAGAAACTATTGTCACAGATAGTAGAACTACAGATCAGCAGGCAACCAAAATTTAATTCATTGAAAGTGATGTTGCTATTCTGAAAATAATGCTTAGTTGAAATGGTTTCTAAAGGAGACTTTTGCTTCATTATATTTCTTTTACCTGCACTAATTTATGTGGTTGTACATCTTCTGTTACAAATTATCTCATAATGTCAATTTATAGATGCAATTTCTATGCATGCTTATCTGGGATTATGTCTCATTCAGTTCTATAAGACTACAAGACATGTATGTACACACTAACATACAGTAACATACATACACATGTATGTATATATTATGTTGGTTTTTTTAAAAAAACATGGGACTCCCCAACTCCAGAACAACTTTGGGTAATTTAAAAATTAAAAATATAACAAAATAAAAACCAAGTATATCAAGAAAAAGAAGACAACTGACCGGAAGAGAGCAAAAGTATAAAACAGTAAAAATAAAAAAGTAAAATCAAATCAAAGGGCTTCAATCATTTTAACTCAATAATTGCCTGGAGGGGAATGCTATGTGTTTAGTAGTTTTCAGAAAATCAAAGTATGGAAGCACCATGAATCTCTGAAAAAAGAATCATTCCACAATGCTGGAGCCATCACTGAGAAGCTATGCTTCTTAGGTTCCTTAGGATAATGGATTCATGTTTTTATTCTTATCTAGGTAGCTTACAAAACCCAAAACCAATTGAAACATTTTAAAAAATAACATATACAACATGGATTAAAACAAACATGACAATAAAAAGAAACCACAACAGGAGCTTCTAAACATATTCCCTTGGATCTGGATATAAATAATTTTCTGGAATTCCAGGTGCTCATTCTGAATGCCCTCACCATGTAGGTAAACATATATAGAAACAAGCCACTCAAGTAACCAGGTCCTGCATTATTCAGGGTTTATATGTTGAGGGGTCTTTGGTGCTCTATGAGCTTGCTTGTTTTCCTGCAAAAGTTTCATTACCCAAACTAGGTTACATCATCAGTGATAGGCTTTATAGGTGATAATCAACACTTGGAACTGCACCCAGAAACCAACACATTACAAACAGTACAGCTCATGAAACAGTGGAGACATGTGCTCATACTTTCATTGTTCATGTCATTATATTCTAGCAATGTATCTCAATGTATTATAATAATTTAGTCAGGAGAGACCAAGGCATGAGTGTCTATCTGAAGGGCCAGATAGCTTTAATCATTCAGGAGATACCGTGATTGAACAGATGGCCAACCATACAGATTGGAGGATTTTGTCCACTTCCTCAAGAGCTACAAACTCTCTACAGACAATCTTACAAACCATATGTCGGGCACATCATCTGGACCTGTCACATCATCTGGACCTGTTACACTCCAAATAATTTCAAGTAACAAATAGCTAAATTATAGACAATCTTGGAATATTTAGCACTTTTTCAACTCCAAGTAATGTTAAGATAAAGTTAACAACACTTTTTCATATTCGTTTATCATATTACTTTGTATGTAAGTAAAAATTTTAAATTTGAATTTATGATTTTTCTAGATTATTTTGGCACTGATAGCCTCAAAACATACTTCTTATTATTTTGGTTCTACAATTCTGCAATAAGTCATTTAAGATAAATTGACTGTATCGGTTGATTTAAATAAAGCAAAATTAATCATTAAAATGCTTTGCAGGTAGTTATTATCTTAGGACTGATTGTTTAACAATGTTTTGGAAATAGGAGAGCCTCAATTTATGATGGCCTTGGAAAGGGTGGCATATGGCCCAGAGCACTTTGTGCAGTGTGGCACTGCCCCTCTAGTGGTCATGTGAATACATTTCAGGTGCTTGGCGCTGGCTCACTGTTATTACCAGCTGCATCATCTTGTGGTTATCTAACCATGATTTTCAACATTTTTTCTGCTTTCCAGCATTATTTGCCAATGTATATTTGGGATATGGATTCAGACTGATCACCATGTGATTCACTTTAAAAACACGGTGAAAATGTTTAACTTATGCTTGATCTAGACAACTAAAATAGGAAAATATAGTTTTATATATATGCAAACAGCTCCAAATTTAAAATATGGATATGTATTTTTGAATCCGTTTCCCCCCTGTAAATATTTTACTATACAGTTGCTTTAGTTCCCATGTGAATCATCCCATGCTTTCTAGCAAACAAATAAGTATAAAAGTGAGAATTTCAAGGCTCAATTTGCACAAAATGACAATCATTAAAAATATGTAAACAAATTATGGACCCAGTTGGTGATATCACAATCTCCTATTAAGCACAGAAAAAATATATAATAAACATCCTTTATGATTTCCATTTCATAAATGCACTGTTTGAGTATCGTTAATGAAAATTGAAACAACAGGTATAGGATACTTCCACTGACCTTTTCAGTATTGCAGTGGCCTCTTGAAGGACGGTTAGATGCAGATTTGAAAAATCCATCATTAAGAATGGCTGTCTACTAAGATGATTTCTAGAACCATGACAGATATACTCAGTATAATGCAACAGCAACCAACATTCTTCCCTCGATAAAAGAAAATAAATAAATCCAGTAATCCATGAAGGTTGCTCCCTGTCTTAGATTGCAAGTGGATAAATCTTGAGAGGCACTGATCATCCAAATATTTTCCTTTAAGCTTTCTGCAGAGTACCATGGATGCCTAGAATATGCCAACATTTCCTGGTTCAGAAGATTCTTTGTTCCAATAAAAGATGAAGGGGGAAAAATGGTTTATCCACAGATCAAACACAATAATTGTAATCCCATGGCTGCTGGGGAGAACAACAGTATTTCCTTTGTTTAACCGCAGTATCTGGCAGGAAACACAGCTTCAGAACTTGAATGGATGTTTTATAGATACAAGTATATTACATAATGCTGATCCACATATAAGTATATTCCAGGAAACAATTTGTTCCAGGCTTGTTCTCAAATGACGACCTGTCATTATTGTAGGTTCCCTCCTTGCAACACTATTAGCAAACTTTATATATCAAACAGTGCTGCAAATCATTATTATTGTTATTTCAATGGCAAGGAGAAGAAGTAAAAAAGTGCAGTTCTTCAATTAAAGTGCATGGATGAGGTAAACTAATTTCAAGAGTTTAGAGTTTATTCAGTACTGTCTCAAACTGGAACCATTCTGCCGTGCATTTGTTGCATTTGGGTCCTCATTGCTTGGACGCTGTTCAAAATCTTATTCTGGTGTGCAATGGCAGTAATTCCGATTCTTGCCAGGTCACTACATGAATAAAAAAAAAGGAATGAGCCCCAAAATAAGATCTTTATGCCAAATATATATCTATCATTATAAATAACAAATGAATAATAAAATAAAAATAAAAATCAATTTATATACATTCTTAATTAAATGTCCTAATGTGTTGTATTCTCTGTGTTTTATTGAGGTTTATTATAACATAAAATACTCTGGAAATAAAGACTAAGAAAAAAGGGAGGGAAATGCAGGATTTTTTAATAATAGTGGTTAATAATAGTGGTTAATAATAATAGTGGTTAATAATAATAGTGGTTAATAATAATAGTGGTTAATAATAATAGAGGTTAATAATAATAGTGGTTAATAATAGTGGCTAAAGGTAAAAAGGTAAAGTCTCCACTCGCACATATGTGCTAGTCGTTCCCGACTCTAGGGGACAGTGCTCATCTCCGTTTCAAAGCCAAAGAGCCAGCGCTGTCTGAAGATGACTTCATGGTTATGTGGCCAGCATGACTAAATGCCGAAGGCGCATAGAATGCTGTTACCTTTAAACCAAGATGGCCCATATTTTTCTACTTGCATTTTTTACGTGCTTTCGACCCACTAGGTTGGCAGAAGCTGGGACAAGTAATGGGAACTCACTCTATTACGTGGCACTAGGGATTTGAATGGCTGAACTGCTGACCTTTCTGAACTACAAGCTCAGCGTCTTAGCCACTGGGCCACTGTGTCCCTATAACTTCTAACCTAATTATCTATAAATTCCGGCATGGTAAATTGTTAATATAGCTTAAACTTTTTACATTACTTATACTTTTTGTGTATTTCAAGTATAAAACCAGAAGCAATTTCCCAATCGAATGTCTAAGTGCACTGTAGATAGTATTTTCAAATCATATCAATTTCAATATTCCTCTATTAAAGACATACCAACATTCTAATGACTGATTAAATTTAATCTCATTAAATACAGTTTTATACTTTATTTTGTTAACACTGCTGAGTACTTACTCCTGGTTCATATGCACCACAGCCTCTAAGGTAGTATAGCTGGCAGCTGTGAAGTTATCCTTATATCGTTCCATTTTAATAGCCTGAAGCCAATCACCAACAGAAACTACACTTGAGAATTCAGGAGAACTTGGATCCAGCAAAGCAGTATTAGGCCTAGGACCAAATACAAGCACATTGTTTTAATTAACAGGGAAAGCATCTAGATTTTAAGTTTTTCAATTATTTTGTATAATTAGAGGTGTAAGATGTATGCATATTTTCTGGGGGGAAATGGACTATATTTTGGTTTGATGAGTAAGACTTTAAATTTGTGAACGGCTGAAATATACACAATTCTTATTTTTAAAGCAATCTTTAACGCAATAAAAAATAAATAGAAACTGATACAGTGTCGAAGCTATCAAAGGTTTTGATGCCTAACAGAGGACAGAAGCCTCCAACTCAGGGCACATAGAACATTACACAGTCTGCTAGAGAGACGTTCCCTGAGGTTGGGCTCCAGCACGGGTCTAAAAGCTCAGAAGACAAAACTTCTAGTCCCGGTGACTGACCCAGATTGGATCCTGCAAAAAAATCTTCATTGATAGTACAAATGCGGTTCTAAGGAAGATGGTGAATTGTGAATGAATTAAGTCCTCTCCCATATAACCTGTATCAAACATTAAAAAAAAATCCTTCACTACATACACAAATGTTGATTTAATACATATGAAACATCAGTGATGAAAAGTGTAGCCTTTCATACAATCTGGAAGTGCAGAACTTAGAAAAAGCTTCCATCAGGCCTCTTCCTGGCCAGATATATAAGTTAAATATTTCCAAAAGGAAGGAATAATAATTATAGTCAAATAAAAGATTAATAATGATAATAATGTATACATATATATTAGATTTATAATATGAGATTTTATATAATTTAAGTGAGTACTATGGAGAAGATGCACAAAAGTTTTGTAACCAAACGACACGCAGGATGTAACGGGAAGATGTTTTTATGTTTTATGTTTTGTATGTGTAAGTTTGTCTTTAAAAAATAAAAATTCGTAAAAAAAAGAAGTTAAATATTTCCATACAAAGCAGGTACAGCAAAGAATTAATCTATTTTAATCAATTTCTCTCTCTCTCACTCACTCATTCTCTCTCTCACACACAAACATATATGCAAAATGTTAGCATTGAGCACTCATAGTTTCAATTTTTGTGTTTTCAATTGCAATTTCTACTTTTTAATGTCATGTAATGTAAAGTTAAACTGTAACTTTAAATTTTAATGTGAAAAGACCATATAGTAATAGAAACTTTTACATGTTGTGTACTATTTTTAAATAAACCACAACAAATATTTATTATTATTAAAATAAACAAAAATTTAGTGCTTTTATTTATTTCAAGTGTGGATAATCAAAGAGTGCAAGCATCTTGTATGAGAAAAATATTCCTTTTAATCTTTATCTTTGCCAGTGCTTTTCAACAGCCTTAAAAGAACACTTCCTTGGTAGCCTGCTCAAAGCTGTTCAAAGCTATACCTAAATATACGCACCCATTCTTTTCAGGATATTTAATGCTGGTGTTAAAAGGAACTTCATAACAATAAGCACTGGAGATCAGATTATACGTGACAGGAAAAGGTATAATAGTCTAAGATATATGCTTATCAGAAAATTAGAATAAAATATTGCTGGTAAAGATTAAACACCTGATAATATACAGGCCTTCCTTCTTAAATAATTAAATAATGGCAGGTAACTACATTTGTCATAGTACAGGTGCAATTAGAACCAACTAGAAGAAATAAGAAGATAGCTACTTTTCTGAATGTAAAATTGAAATGTTTGTTTTTAAAAACAACTCTTTCTTAAACATGTATTGTGAGAATTTAAATTTAATATTGTTCATCTCTCTACTCATTTAATGCAGCTGACTGAACTAATTTAGGGGTGTGGAGTTTCTCTTGAGATAAAGATATTCACTTTTGGGAATATTTTGTTTTCTTATCACCTTTTCTCTCTGGCTAGTCATGACATCTTGTTCCAGGGACACATGATTTCTTATGCTCTTTAGGGGAATTCTCTGTTCCTTGTAATAAGAGGTATTAAAAATAATAAAAAATTTGTAAAGCATGACAACATATATTAAATTTCAATTAATCTCAGCTGAATGGAAGATCTCTGTATTTATTACTGTGGCCGTGGCAATAATACTTCAATTAGAGTTACATAAAAAGTTGTATCACTATTACTTACATAAAAACATTATATGAAAAATTGGAGGTTTCCACTAAAATGTTATATTAGCTATGGGTTGGGTCCAAAGTATCTGATATACAAATGATGGTTTATGTCACTAAAGAGAAAATTCTTGCTATTTGATGGTTATCCAGATTGTGGTAGTCCAATTATGGTAGCTTAGTTAGAGAAAGGAAAATAATTCCATGTTTCAATCTAATTCTGAATTATACTGAGTCGGAACTCTATTTTAGTCTACTCTATTCAGAATACCACTCATGATTTGAAATTAGTGTTTTTCCCAGCCTTACTGGAAGAGCTATACATAAGTTTGAGCTAGGAACAGTTGCGTGAAAGAGGATCTCATGCTCTGCTACTGAAGTAAAAAATATGATTCATGACTTGGAAAGTGGAGGAGCTAGGGATTATAGGCTTGGGAAAGCCTTCTGCCAACTTCCTACTGTGAAATTCAACTTCAGGTAAGTTTCTAACATAAGCCCCAATTTACAATAATGCATGAATAGAGTAAATTGCAAATTATCCCAAGGGAGCCTATTACTTTTTTTGTTTGACAGAAAGAAAAGGTGACCTATTCAAATTGCTCCATTAAAAGACATTTAAATGAAAAATTAACAACAAAATTCTAAATTTTAGTCCTCTAAAGTCATCATTTTTCACAGAAAAGCTTTCTCAGACAAGCCAGCTGCCGCCAATTTGGTTCCCATCAGATATGTTTGTGTGTAAATTTCATTACACCCAGCCAGTTCAGCCAAAAACTATGTTGGCTAAGGATGAGTTTGTAGTACTACATATCAGACTACACCATGTCGGAAAAGGGTAAAAAAAAAAAAGATTTGTTATCAATGACCATTTCTACTGATGGTTTTGGCTGGCTCCTTTCCACCCACTGCTCTGGACTCTTTTACATGGACTTCCCTTCAGGCAAGATGCTCAAGGCAATTGTGACTTTCATTTGGGATGTGTGAATAACAATGCCATTCCAATTCCATTCTGCTTTCTGTATTTTCTATTCCACTGAAAGTTTTACAGATTATCCTGTGCATGCATGTTTATGATGGCTGGAACCAGGAAGCTTTCTATTTAGAGAATATACCCATACATTAGATACTTTTGGTAATAAAAGATAAAAAGTTCAGGCATAGCTGGCCAAGGCAGCTGCTTAGTTTTAAAGGTAAAGGTATTTTTTAAATAGTGGTTAACTTCTAACCTAAAGGTAAAGATAAAGATTCCCCTCGTACATATGTGCTAGTCCTTCCCAACTCTAGGGAGCGGTGCTCATCTCCAATTGAAAGCTGAAGAGCCAATGCTGTCCGAAGACGTCTCTGTGGTCCTGTGGCTGGCATGACTAAATGCTGAAGGCGCACAGAATGCTGTTACCTTCCCACCAAAGGTGGTTCCAATTTTTCTACTTGCATTTTTACATGCTTTCAAACTGCTAGGTTGGCAGAAGCTGGGACAAGTAACAGGAGCTCACTTCATTACGCTAGGGATTCAAACTGCCGAACTGCCAATCTTTCTGATCAATAAGCTCAACATCTTAGCCACTGAGCCTCCACGTCCCTTAGATTACATTGGCATAATTATTAGATTCCTGACAGGACCTTGTGTCCATGAAAGAACCATCAGAACAGGATCACAATTAAAATGCACATACAATATTTATTTTAATACTGTGGAAATGTAAATGGTAAATATAGAGAATAAGGTTATATTGGGAAGTAATATTAAGTATATCTACTATTTTATACTGGTAAAATATAAGTACTCTGGTCAAAATTCAGTTTAGCACAACTGTTGAGCTGAATTACAGTTGGCTGTCACTACCAATACTTTCCTTCATCCATTACCATTAGAAAAATACAACTGACCTGGAGTTTTCTGAGCCTGTCCTCTTCAAGCTATTGGGATTGCGGATGAGTTTGTCTAACATGTTGACAATCTGTCCAAATTTAGGTCTATCACTACGTTCTTTCTGCCAGCAATCCAGCATTAATTGATGTAGAGCGATGGGGCAGTCCATTGGGGGTGGAAGACGATAGCCTTCTTCAATGGCTTTAATAACCTAAGAAACATAGGAAAACAATATTTTAGGAGACATTTTAATGCAGAGAAGATAAAGCAAAGCAAGTTTCATTCAGTTTTGGCATCAATCAAAAATTATGTTTATATAAGAAATCCGTCAATATATTTTAATTTAGCCACTTGTAGTATTAAAATAGGGAGTAATGTCATATGAAATGTACAGATAATAAACATAGGCCAAAATATACACCTTAAAATTGGGATTAGAGAAAAAATGGTTAGATAACAGTATAATGCCAGAATACTTTTAAAAAGTTGTTAGATTGTGATAGAGGTTTAACTGTTGTGTTGCATGATGTTCAGAATTACATATTTATGAGAAGGGTGGCTGTGTAAATTTGGCAAATAAGACAAATATCATATCAACTACAAAAAGATAAAATAAAGGAGCTGTGTAAGTACATTCTAGTTACCTTATTATTGGGCAAAATGTCTCTTAAACAATGTATTTGTGAAAATTTATAAAATAGTATACATCTTGATAGAATCCCCCTATTAAGAAGTCTTGACTTAATATGATCTAAACATAATTATGACCATGAAAAAGAGGTGGACATAATTGAACTTGACTTGCATAAAATCCTAATATACAAAATAGCACAATGAAAATAAACTATTCAAATATTATGTCCAGAGACGACTGAAGCATTCTACTCAAGGGTTGTTTTTACATCAAGGCAGGATGTCAAATGATGTATTCGGGACTCCATTCTAGCCCTGATATCATTAAACATATTTATAAATGTCTTGGTAAAATTTAAGTAATATGATTATCTGATTTATCTTCCAATTCGTAGATGATATAAAAAATGGAGATACAGCAAACACTATAGAGACCAGTATCAGGATTCAGGAGGATATTGGCAAGTTAGAAGAATGAAACTAACAAGATGATTTTCTACAAGAAAAATATAAAATATTTCATTTAGGCAAGAAAAATCAAAGACATGATTGTAAGATGGGCAGGACCATATTGGACAGAATTACAGCATCAAGATCAAGAGAACCCATTGTTTTTCTCTATTCAGTTTTGATCAGAGTATAAGGAGAATAGCTGGTCAAGTCCTGGGTATTGCATTTTAAGAAGGAGATTGATGAATGGAAGTATTTCCAGAGGTCAGTGTCCAAGATGATAAGGGACTAGGGGGGGAAAGTTTATGAAACTCATTGGAATCATTTTATATTTTTACCCCAGAAAAGAATGTGGAATGCATGACAGCTATATTCAAATATCCAAAGGGCAATTATGTAGAATAGAGAGCAGAAGTATTCCAGAGAACAAAACATTAAACAATGGACCTAAGTTACAAGAAAGTTCATTGTTTCTGGGCATCAGAAATTATTTCCAAATGGTCAGAGTTTTCAACTATATAACAATCCTGATTAAATGTGGACTCTTATTTGCTAAAATATTGGATCACAGGCTGGTGGACATCTGCTTAGGATACCATAATTGAGAATTTGATGAGATATTCTCCAAAGTTTTTTTAATCAACCTCGTATCCAATGATTCTATCCTGCCATAGAATTTTTCTTCTAAGTCTCAAATTACTCTCCCCCACCGACCCAAGAAAGGGCAATGGAATGTACTTTAAGGAGTATAGTTATTAAAAATGCTCAGCAACTATATTAAAAGTTTTGTTGTTCCAGGGATCATTGATCTTCTGGCTGCCAGTGAAACTCTGAAAAGATCAACATATAGCCATATAGATTCCATGAACCAGACTACAGTTCAACTGTTGTATAATGGTTTGCATCAGTCTCACTCTTAGTAACACCTGGCTCTTTTTAAGTTACCCAAATCTGTCCGTCATGAAATGCAGGAGTGGTGTAATTGCTCAGTACCCTGTACCCCAAAAGGCCAGCTGCAAATTATCCTATTATGTAGTGTGTAACGCTATATGTGTACAGTGATTAACTATGGATATATGATCTCAAACCAGTTTGCATAAAAATCACATAAACTCTTCCATACATGTATCTCATTATCATATTTGCCTATTTGGCAAAGCTACTGAGAATAAGCTCATGCATAATTGAGACCCAGCTCCCAACTGCTGGGCATGTCTAGTTCTCAATACTTCATGCCATCACAGCTGGCACTAATGGGCACTCTTGCTGGCAATCTTTACAGACTGAAGAAAGATTAATTGGCCACACACATTGATTCACACAACCATACAATTTATTTCACATGAAGAGAAGTTCAGGCACAATGGCTAGCAATGTGGATTCATACTTCTAAATGGCCACCAAACATTAAGAGAAACAGAGAAGAGTGTTGACTTGGAGGTTTCTAGAAACTGTACCCTCTTCACGAAAATAAAATTAATAACTTTCCAAGTCTTATTTACATTCAAACGGAGAGGGAAAAAAATGGAACCCCACTGTCACTAGTAAGCAGTTTCTCCATCTAAGTGACAATTTGAATGCTGTGAGGATTTTTAAAATCTTTTCTGGTAAAGGGCTTTTTTTCCCAATTCAATTTTTATTATGGTCATGGACCACCAGAGAAAAAAATTAAACATTAAAAGAAAACAAAATTGTACAGAACCAAACAGCACAAGGCATAATAATATATTATACTTCAGGGTGAAATCAATGTGTGATCAAAGTTTACCTAATTTTACAGACAAAACTTAGTTTTATTAAGGGAAATTGAATCCTACTGATCCAACAATAGTCAACAATAGTAGTTTTTCATAGAAATGATCAGAGTTTCCAGCATATTTAATCAAATAAGGTTATATGTCTGTGGCTCACAGACTCACAGGGGGCAATACAACAGGACATGAGCTGTGGTTTCAAGTCCAAAGGGGCACAACTCTAGTAAAAGGCATCAGAGCTGCACTACAGTCCAATTAATCTTGACATTATTTTAATTGGACAATATGAACAAAAGGACTGCACTATATCTACTTTTCTTGTTGATAAGAATTCATGTTTATAAAATGCATCTGATGCATTTTTTCCACATTAAATGTTAGTGACTTTGTTTATTCTGAGTCAAAAACACAGGATCATCCTGTTCTAATATTGTCCATTCTGAATAGCTGTACTCTCTTAATTCTGCTACTTAAAATTCCTTATCTTCAAAGTATGTGCGTGATCTTATACAGTTATTTTATGTTTTATATCACTAAGATAAAATATGTCCCTTTCTATATTTCACTTTTGAAGGATAAAAAGACATGTGACTGATGTGATAAAACACATTTGTAAACAGCAGTAACCTTTAACTTCTATTAATGGGTGAACATCTTAAAATTAGAGTACTTCCAGTTGATGAACCAGAGTGTTGTCTTTGAGGTCCCTCTTCACAAAAATGAAATTAATAACTTTCCAAGTCTTATTTACATTCAAACGGAGAGGAAAAAAGATGGAACCCCACTGTCACTAGTAAGCATTTTCTTCATCTAAGTGACAATTCGAATGCTGTGAGGATTTTTAAAAAAAATTCTGCTAAAGAATGTTTTTCCCAATTTATATATCAGGAGTGAAGGAAGCAAGAAATGTTGAGGGGTTTATAAATCAATCAGATAATGCTTATTTCTTATCTCACTGAATTTTCTTCTTATTTAAGATTGTTCTGTCATATTTCAGTTGCATTCAATCTCATTTAGAAAAACAGAAATTTTATTAACTCCCACTTGGACTGAAGTATTCCATATGCTAGAGTAAAAAGAACTTACATAATGTACAAAGGGTCATTGATTAAAGCTTATTTATTAATGTACTCCAAGGAGATATCTTCTGATGTTGTTATTTCTCAATCTTTTCACACAATAAATAATAATAAAAGCATCAATAAAATTGTCAGCTCAAAATAGAAGTTAAACTCACCTTAGGTTCAAAATATCAATTGAAAACTTGCTTTATAGATATAATAAAATATTTTCAAGTGAAAAAGGTTATACAGAATGAATATCAGCAATTTCATCTCCACAGTTTGAAATGTTTTATAAATGGAAACATTTATTTTGGAGGCAATGCATTCCTCCATTCTTATGGTACAATTAAAATATGTAAATTGACTGCCTATATGTATATCTATATAATATGTTGCAAAATCTCAAGCAGCCAGATATTTCAAGTTTTCTCACTTATTTCCCCGTCTTGTCAACATTTCTTCTTCCTACACATTGTAGGAATCTTACACATCCTACAATCTTACACATTGCACTGTAAGGTGTGAGATATTTTTTAAAGAGTAGATGTATGGATGAATGAATTATTCCCTTCCTGACCAGCAACAACAGAAGCAAAGCTCATCAGCAGTTTCTTCGATAGTTGCCTTGATATTTCGCCATTCTCTAATCAATTTCACACACTTCAGAAAATCTGCTGGAAGTTAGGGCACTGTGGTTAATTTCTCACCATGACTTTTTTCTGCTTTGTATGATTTGTAAGAAATTTCATTTGATGGCATCCCACAAATAAAAATGGAAATGAATTAGGCTCATAGTCTTTTGATTGTCTTGATCCAATCCAAGTTCAATCTTTACAGGCAATTATTCTGATATGGATAGCCTTTCATGGCATGAGTCCAGGTTTCTTGAGAGAATTTCTCATCCCACTGGAATTGGCCATCTCACTGTGCTGGCAGAGGAATCAGCCCACTTATTCTGGTGGTTGGGGTCCAGAAGAAAAGCCTCATTGCTGTTGCACCTGTCTTCTGGAACATCTCCCCCCCCCCAGTATAAGATTGGCTTCCTGGTCTTCGACAGGACCCTAAAGAACTGGTTCTGTTAGCTAGCTCAGGGCTCCAATGGTGGAACATTGCAGTAGGATAGAGTGGAGATGGTTGATCAATTAACAACAGATTCCACCCGCAACCCTATCCTGACCCTGCCCTCCCCATCTTTAATTGCACCAAAGCATTGGGCTTGATTTAACTTAACGTTTTTAGAATATTTATATTAATCTTTCATGATTGTAAGTTGCCCAGAGCTACCTTGTGTTAAGATGGATAGCCAATAAATTTTATAAATAAATAAATAAACATAGAGCAACTATCTGATCAAATATATCCCATCAAAATTGTATTTATCCCAACACAAAATATGCTCCATTACCTTCAACTATAGAGTGGTAAAAAAAATAATAAGAGTATTGTTTCTGAGATAAGAAGATTGTCCTATGGGCCACTTAAACTAAGAAAGGAAAATGTCCAAGTGATGTAGACTGTTATCAACATCTCAACAGTTCCTAGTCTCTTGCATGAGTTGTAACACCTTTTCCCTCCATTTAGATTCATTTAAATCCAATGCAACCCTATCTTTCTAACTTTTTATAAACTGCTAAAACCTGGTGTTTGTCTCGCCCCCCCCCCCCCATCTCTCTCTCTTATATCAGGGAGGTGGATAACCTTGAAAATAAAATATCACATTACACTAAATAAAATGATTGTGCTATAGTATCACTTATGTTCAATTCCAACATCATGGCAATTTATCACAAAAAGTAGTTCCCATTATGGTGACAGACACTTACATCTTGATTGGACATATCCCAATAAGGCCTCTCTCCATATGACATCACTTCCCACATGACAATTCCATAGCTCCAGACATCACTAGCCGATGTAAATTTACGATAGGCAATTGCTTCTGGGGCAGTCCATCTGATAGGAATCTTACCACCCTACAAGTAAATCAACAGAAGCATTTATACAACTGCAAATACTTAAGGTTTGTTTATTCATTGATATAGGCTTACAATTATATATAGTTACTTATATAAAGAAATAGTACATTAATGAAAAGATAACAGAACAATCTGTCTCCCCACCACAACTCCCCCCAAAGACATACTTTTTCTATCAGCAAAATAAATTTGGAAGCAAGCAGACTTAAGCATGAAAAGTTCAACCGCTTCATCAGAAAGAAAAGAAATAGTTTTCTCATCTTTGTGCTTACCTCAAATGGTATATAAAGTAGGAGGTAAGTATATATGTGAGGAAGATATAATAAAGGTAGCTGTCAACTTATGATCACAATTGAGCCCAAAATGTTTGTTACTAAATGAGACATTTGTTAAGTGAATTTTGCCCTATTTTATGACTCTTCTTGCCCCAGTTGTTAAGTGAATCACTGCAGTGGTTAAGTTAGTGACATGGTTGTTAAGTGAATCTGGCTTCCCCACTTTGCCTGTCAGATGGTCACAAAAGATAAGCACATGATCCCAGGACATTACAACCCTCATAAATGTGAGTCAGTTACCAGATTTCTGAATTTTGATAATGTGATCATGGGGATACTGCAATGATTGTAGGTGACAAGTCACTTTTTTTAGTGATGTCATAACTTCAAATGATGAACTGTTGTAAGTTGAGGACTACCTGTAAACATTTCAGTGGTTGGAGTGGGTTTTCAGGGTCCTGCTAAAGAAAGGGAAGCCTAAGAGCTTATTTTGCCCTTTTATTTATGATCAGGCCTTGCAGATTATTAGGCATACATTTGCTATTTAAATGATACAAAACTGTTTGCTCCTTGTAAGAAAAATGCTGATTGAGTTTATGTTTTCTGCATTTTATAGAATTCTGCTTTTATACTGACCATTTTATGATTTTGCATCCCTGGTCTTATGCATTACATTGCAATAAAATTTGAGCTTTTGTTTTATTGTTTGTTATTAGTATTGGTATTATATTGCACTGTGTATATGTATTGTATATGTCTGTGTGTGGGTGTGTACACAAACAAAAATATATTGATTTCTCTGCTTCGAGCTATATTAATGCACTGTGAGGTCCAGGCTCTCTGAACCTGAGTTGTTTTCTTTCAGACATTTCATTACGAAACTAGGTAATATCATCAGAGCTAGAGTGCTAGTTGTCACCTAGTTTGGTAATGAAAAGGCTGCAATAAAAGCTCAGAGAGGATCAAGGATCAGCTCAATCCTGAGCGACACATATTCTTATTCTATCAGTGCATTAATTTGCTAAACTCACAAAATATGGTTTTATAAGATTAGCATTTCGTTCCTATCATTTAGGTGGTTGCTAGCAGGAGCTCTGCTACTGTAATCTTTCTTGTGCTGTTCCTGCCAGGCTTGTTTTACATGAACCCGACTGAGAGATACATTTATCAAGCAACTCGGTGGCCTATTCACAGTCAACAAATCAGTTCAGGAATACCACTTTGGAATGCTTCAGAACATGTACATATGCTGTTCTAAAACTGAATAAAACATGTTGCTATTACAATCCTAATGCACGCCTTCTTATTACCAAATGTGGCGAAAATAATGGCTGAAAACAGTACCATTCTTATTATTTGCTTTAGCTTCTAGATTAAAATGACAATAACTAAATAATATAAATTTTATTTGCTTAAAAAAAAGAGAGACTCACTCTTCCTTTTTTAACCCTCATCTTGTACAATACAACACATGTATTTTTATGATACATAGTGGCATGTTTTATAATATTTTTTATTAAAGTTTACAAATGCAAAAATGAAAAAAAATATTACTGCAAACTAAGAACATAAAAAATAAAATAAAATAAAAAAAGATTTATTTAAAAATGATTTCTTTTTTCTCCAAATAAGTACAAAACCTTCAGGAATTTATGACATTTTCTGATATTTTAATAAAATATTTGTACTTTCAATAACTCATATATATCAATGGATAAATTACACAATTTCATCATTCACTCTGAATCAGCAAAAGTCCATTAAGAGCTATAGGAATAACATATATGCATGTAGGTATGTATGTACACACACACACACACACACACACACACACACACACAAAGAGAGTTGTCTTATAATTATTTTCAAAATTTTCCTATATATTTTTGTAAAAGTTTAAACAATTCACAGGAAACATTCTTTCACGTTCATATGGCCTCTGTTTTTAACTTTTCGAAATCAACTAGTCACTTTTTTGCTTTTTATTCAAAAATAAGTTTAAAAATAAATTTCTTTTTATTTTTATTCTTATTTGGAAAAAAATTGTATTTAAACAATGATAAAATGAAATCCAGCTGTATAATGAAAATTGGCCTTCTGAAGATTCTTAACATCCAAAAACTAATTAACAAGCAACATGCTAAGATGTTTAAGAGAAGACGTGTATAAACCTAGTATCAATTTAAAGGCATTGAACCATGGTTTAAGTGAGAGTCCTTCCCCCAGCTCCCAGATCTCTAAAACAGTCTTACAGTCTCTTAATGGGAAACCTCTGCCTGGAGCATTGTGAACAATTCAACTCTTTCCTTATCTATAGAGGAATTCTGAGAAGCCAGTGAATTCATTGGATTCCTTTTCTGAGCTGACTCTGCCATTATTTCCCCATGTAAGTTTGATTTTTATGAATAACGTATTGTTGTACTATGACCACTGTTATCAAAACCAAACCCAGTTTGCTTTATCTAACTTGTTTATAAATCCTGGGATGATTTCCATGATGCTTTATATTATTTGTCCCTTTAAATAATAAGAAACTACGGCTATATAGAGCTGTTATAATCAACACATGAAAAACTGGGATAATGGCCCAAAGCCAATTAAACCGAAGTCTATATTTATCACAGAGCACGATACAATTGGCAAAGAAACTCAGGTCACTATCTAATTTTAATCACAAACTCAAGGATTAAGCTGTACGTTAAAATGATGCGGGAAGTAAAATACAATGGTATTTCCTGTGCCTGCCACACAAGCAGATTAGGAGAAAACCATTGAAACACTACAAGAACTGAGGGTGAGGTCCTGGCTTAGCTTCTATCCTAAAAAAGTGATGGAAAACATGATTACAATAGATTTACTGTATTTAAAGAAATTGGGAAAAAAGGCTTGGTTTTCAGGGAGGTGACATGCTGCCTTACCAACCTTTAACATTACTTACAATTTAAGAACATATAAACACAAGAAGACCTTTGCTGGATCAGGTCAAGAGCATATCTAGTCCAGTAATCTGTCAAGCACATCAGACAGGTGAATTGTGTATAAAGGGGTTAATTCTCTTTCACTGGTGCTCCTTAACAACCTGTTTTTTTTATCTATAGCAGTGAGGACAAAGAGCCCCCCCCCTTATTCTCCAAGAATGTGTGGAGTCCCTTTTAAAATAATCAAAATTGGTGACCATATTATATGATATTACATTTTTAACTATTTGTTGCATTGGCTCTAATTTTCTTTTCCTTTAGTTAATAAATGAGATGGGAAAACCTGCTCTCTATATTTCCAAGCTATGTATGATTTTATAAATACATTTATGTATTGTTTTATAAATGCATTTATGTATGATTTTATAATGCATTTATGTATGATTTTATAAATCTATAAAAATTAGAGAGCCAGTTTGATTTAATGCATAAGGCACCAAGCTAGAAACCAGGTGACTGTGGATTCTAGTCCTGCCTTAGTCATGAAAATCAACTGGGTGACTTTGGGCCAATCACTGACCCTCAGAATAGCCCTGTCCATTCCACAGGTTTGGCTGCAGAGGAGAAAGGAATATTAGGTTCATTGGCTACGTATAAAAATAATTAAAAAGAATATAATTTTTAAAAATCTATCCAGAACACTTTTGGAACATAGAAAACTTCTCATATTATGCTGTTATATAGTACTACTTTAATTACTATAACTAGTCACCATACCATTTCCTCTAGCCCACAGGCAGGTATTCTGCCTCCGTCCTTCTTTCTCCTCTTTTGGTAAATGTGCAGATGTTTACAAAAAGCATACAATTAAAGCAACCAATCCCTTTTATTTTTAGGAAATATTCACAGGGTCTTTGTGGGTCTAGAATAATCCTTTAAAGTAAGAGTGATACTCCGCTTTATTGAATTTCTCATGATATTCTTCTTCTTTTTTAGTTCTTAGTTTTCTGGGAACATCCATATATCTATGGCTGAAAGCAAGACATTAAACTGTCACATGCTCTTTTTTTGTTTAATTTACTTAAAATACATGTTCTTGTGCCTGGATTATATCTGTGTCTATGTGGCATTTCATTTTTAGTATCACCTGCACCAACTCCTAGAATTGAAAACATTCAATGACTGGTGATTGGAATACAGTCTTGCACTTTAGTGTTGGCAGCTGCTCATTGAAATGATGAGAAAGACACAAGCACATGAGCTGATTTCTTGCACTCATGGTATTTGATACTTTGGATGGTAGCCAAGTTATAGCTTTCTTTTTCATTTATTATGGTAATAAAAAAATACTTTTTATCCCTACAACCCATATGGTTAGTTTGGCTTGTATCAGTGGCATTTAAAAAAAACCATAACAATTTAAAATTAATTGTGGTTAGTCAACTATGGAACTTATCCAAACTGTCCTGAATGGTGATATCAAAACAAGACAATGTACTGTGATGCAAATTATATACATATTTTTGCCATTCCATTGGAAGGGAAAACACTTCACTATATTTGCATTGCTGAATTGCAAGGAAAGCTTTTCAATCATTTCCTCCTGACCTTCTGTTTGAACACAGCTCTCTAGAAATCTGTCTTGGCTCAAAACCTCTCTGCCCTTGTTAGTGGGAAATTACAGGGCTGGACAGCATTAAAATACTCAGAAGGCAGATTGCAATTTTCTCTCCCCTCCCCAGTCTTTTTAATGAACTGCATGTTCATTATAGGGGAAGTCTGAAAATTAAACAGCACAAACTAGATTTTTCTAACAATCTCTGTACTTGGGAAAACAGATGGAGAACTGGCATTTAAAAGCCAAAACATCTAACAAAATTATACTTCTTCATGATAAACCTTGCACCACCTTTTATCCTAATGCGTATAAGCTTCAAGGATGTTTATGATCACCAGGATACTGCTGTATAAGCTGTGATTTTTGCCTCATTAGACTTTTTATGCAGTCAACAAAAACTCATGAAGCCACTAAATGAGTATTATTCCACCAGTTGTAAACATACTCACGCTCATGAAAATGTCACTGATCTCCATAAATAAGCAAACAGCACATGAAAACAGAAGTTTATTTTTTTCTTTGCTTATTTACTTACTATAGTTTGAATGCTGCTCAGCTCCAAATGGCTCTGTGGGCCAATTATATCAAGCAACACAACAATAAAATCATTAAAATAGAATAATAATCAAAATAACATCAATCACTTCTTAATCATAGAAGATAATAATTAAAACAATATAAACTACCCAAACCTATTTAACAGAAGCAGGTCATCCCCATTGTCTCTCAATGCTTTCATTAAAGCTGTATTTTCTTCAAGATCCCAATAAGTAGGGATATTATATAAATATGGACCAGGAAAGGAGATTTACAGGTGTCTTTTTAATAAATTTCTTTAGATAATATTACATATTTTGCAAGTATATATCTAATATCTTTATTGAGTTGGGCGACATATACAATAGATAGACAGAGTCAGACAGATAGAGATGGACAGATAGATTTTTGACTCACCCTAGTCGTGTAGGCTGCTTCAGGATCATCTTCTAGAACCCGGGACATACCAAAATCAGAAACTTTACAGACCAAGTTGCTGTTAACTAGTATGTTTCGAGCAGCTAGATCTCTATGAACATAGCTCATGTCAGACAAATACTTCATTCCAGAACCAATTCCTCTGAGCATTCCTACCAACTGGATTACAGTAAATCTGCCATCGTTCTTCTGAAGGGAAGGAGTAAGGAAGATAAATAAAAGAACATATTTTTGATCAATTATAAGTTGTCTTTACAACTTTTGGGAGTCTCCCTCAACCCACCATCATAATTATATTTTGAAAGTGAATAAAGATGGGTCTTTATGAAGTTGCACTAATGTCTCTACTGACAAAGTAAATTCAAGCAGGCATTAGATAACAAATTGGTGCTGTCTGATCCTTTCCCTAAGTTACTTGTAGGAAATCCTAAATATATAATACTAAACATGCTGACTTTGTTGATAACTCACTTAAAAAGTGAGGTAATAGGGGTGAACAATTTCTAAAAATCCAGCAGCAAGTATTCAAACTTTACTAGTGAGAAAAGTAATATATTCTATACTTGAGGATTGTAATTTTCTTTGGGACCAAGACCTCCTGTTGCTCAGTTCTCAAGGGATGAGGCATCGTTTAAAAACTCTCGTACTGTACTACATTACTTTCTTTCTTGCCATTGAGCCCTATAATTAACTGGCAAAATATAATCCTGTGCTTTTTGCACTAGCTTCCTGGGATATGTGGAATGTTCCTATTTTAATTAACCAACAACAACGTGAGACTTTTAATAAGCATTTTAATCAAACCTGCTTCTGAGTAAACATGGATTATTTAGAGCTTATTTTATGGTTCACTTACCCTCCCAGCAATAGAAATAGGGAAAAATGCCCTAGTAAGCATCTCCAAACATAATTCTATTTCATCTTGAAACCCCAATAGATAAACAAAGATATTAAAGTGTTTCTCTCTTTAGATTTTATTACATGCCAAGTACCTACCCTGAGAAAGGCATCCAAAGAACCATTCTCCATGTACTCAGTTATAATCATGACGGGTTTACCTAGAAGTTTGAGATTAAAAAACAAAGTTCATAGATGCACACAATTGGGTCAAGGGATAAGGCTTTTTTTTTAAAAAAAAACACCCTATTTTTTAAAAAATACCAAATAACTTCCAATCTATAGAATGAGCCAGAAAACAAATAATGTAAAAGTGTTAGTGAGTTTCAGCCAGAAAATTAGCACTTAAGATAACTCACTGACAAGGTCTTTAACTACAGTACACATCATAATCTCCAGAGAGTATAAGAATCCATAATTGCTCACTAAAGAGAAATGGAGATGCAGTAATAGACCAAATAGGCCTATTTGCACTTGGAGTAACGTAAAGATAATTGCATCATTTGCTAGACAATTTGTATGTCTGTAGGCATTTGGCTGAAAAAAAATCAAAGTTATGGTTTGAAAGATATAGCCTGTCAGCTGTAAGCAAAGATCCAGGTGTGGCATTCAAGAATAATTTTCTTTGTCTTGATTTAATTTATGATTTATATTTAATGTTTTAATCTTGCTTTATTCATTTGTTTTGAAAAGACATGGCCCAAATATTCATCGAACTCTACTCCAGAAAAGCCTAATTTTAATACAAAGCTGAAAACTAACCTTGGATTGTCCATAAGTGATGGCATGCTAACCATTATGTTTTGAATCCATTATTATCTAATGGCGACCATTGGTGTATTTATTCATAGACTATTTAAACACTATTTAATTCTTAATGTATCTTTTATGCATATTAATTTTTTTTAGAATCATTCGAGGATCCAATTTTGTAACCCTATTTTTTTTAATAGAAGGCCCATGCTTCATTGTATATAGACTTTCTGCAGTTAAGTGCATTGTCCTGTGAGAGACACAAGTAACGTTTCCTTTTTAAGACTAAATTTGATTTTAATATATCATGAATAGATCACAAAATGGGATATAATTCAGAGGAAGGAAGGAAGGAAGGAAGGAAGGAAGGAAGGAAGGAAGGAAGGAAGGAAGGAAAGAAGGAAGGAAGGAAGGAAAGAAATAAGAATCTGCTGAAACATTTGTCTGAGAAAATTAGATCCTGGAAAATATTTTCATACTGAAAAACTGCTATAATTATTTCTAGATTAGCATCTATTTCACCCAGTAGGTTATCTCAGCATGTTGTAATTCTGGTATAGTTTCTCTTTATAAATATTTTTATTAGAAAACAATATACTATAGAACATTAATAAGCTGAAGCTTTTTTATCATTTTCATTTTTAGTGAGGGACGCCTGCCTTAATGCCAGTTTCTTTGACATGGGAACATTCACAGCCCTTCACATGATTTCAACCATTGCCAAAACATTCTATCTCCTGGTCTTGTTCAAAATTTGTTTATAAGAAACATTTTTCTATGAATTACAAATCAGGCATCTATGACCCTCTACTATCTTATTTGCACAAGCAATGACTCCTTTTTCACCCCAAATACAGAAATCAAAGGCAGGCACATCACATTAGTATGAATTTAGACATTCTGACTAGGAATTCAATTATTTAAAGACAAAGGCTAAGCAAAGTCATTTGTCTTTATGTGTGAACATTCACCTCTCCTCACATTCATCATTTAAAATTGAATCTACTTAGTGCCAGTCTGTGTATATCCGTGACACAGGCTCTTTGCAACATGTCTAAAGTCACCTAACAAATATATTTAAAGGAATTTTAATTTCAATTAAAAGACATTTTATAAACTTAAAGAACTATCATAATTTTTCAGATGAATATATTAATTAATGGCTCTATTATACTAAAACAGAGAATAGCTAATACAAGAATAAGGCTGGAGACAAATAGGGCATGGAAATATTGTCTAATTTTGTTGAACTTTAATTTCTGCTTCAACATATGATATAACCTGGAAATGGGTGATCTAAAGGAACCCACATTCCTGGTTCAAATTGGTTTCTACTCTGGACAGTAATTAACTGTCTAATGCAAAATGTGATATACATTATAGAGATTAACAACATTCTGAAATTTCAGAGCAAGTATGCTCAAAATAGCTGTCATAGGAGTTTTATATATTTACAAAATAGCTACCACATTGGTCACAGCTAATCACATATTTTTTTTCCAAAAGGCAAATATTTCAGTGAAACCTCTGTGAATGCTTCCTTCTTCATTAACAAATATCAAAAAGTGACAAAAAACATAGTAGACATCAAAGCTAAGATAAGGAACATAGTGGGTATCAAAGGAGGAATTTGAAAGCTCATTTGTTTCTGATAGTATTTTGTTACCTGCTGTATTAAACATGATGATAATCTACTAGACCTAGATAACCATATAAGATTGTTGTAGAATGTCATCATTTATCCATAGACTAGAGAAATGGAGCTTGATTTGCAAGCTTTTGGTAAATATGAAACACTAGGTATAGCCAGAAGTTCTGATACCATTTTGCTTTATAGGTAGGAGTGGTAAAGGGACAGAATGATGTTAAATTCAATACAAATGTTACTGTTGATTTCTACTATAAACTAGGAAAATTGTTCATTTGTAGAATGCTACTAAAATTCAACAGCATGTTCCCAGTCCAAAAAAAAGAAGTTTGAAATTTAAATTTAAAATTTCAATGGTGCATCTATACTACCTTGTTCAGTCTCCTATCATTTTATTCCCACAAACATCAGACAGTCCAACAATCTACATTATGTTATAATTTCAGGATTCATTAATGCACTATATGTCAACCAACTCCTAATAATTTTACAAAGAAAATTGATAAGGGTCTGTTTACTAAAATCTGGATATTTATAAAGGCTTACACTCTAGGAAATCAGTCTTCAAAATTCACTTGTTTTGGCCTACAACCTTCTGTTGGGAATTTTAAATCATTTTAATGCAGTGACAAGTACATTATGCAAATACTATCTAGTCATTTATAACTGTTACAGCTGTAACAGCTTGGAGGTTAAAAGCCTCAGTGGGGTTTCAGTATAAAGATTCCCCTGTTGATTGTCTGGTTTATTAAGGTGATATAAAAATCACTATACCAAACATGCTGTGGACCAAGCAGAAATGTCTTCTTCAATGAAAAATAGCTCTAAAATCATATAAATTGTTTGTGTCTTAATTGAAAATACTGTAGAAACTACAAATCTTTCTTACAAACACCAGGAATTTGCTACAAAGAAGTATCAGAACGTATTCAAAATTCTGTAAGTGATCTATCACTATGTTTTAATTACATTTGAAATGTTTGAAGTAGGTAGACTTTATAAAGAAGAATCAGCAAGATAGAAAGTAAAAACACTGATTTCAAAGACATTATCTTCAAAAATGTACTTATATACGTTGCTTAGAATCAGAAACTAAAAAGGGGGCATTTTGGTCATGTAATTCCTGCTAAAGTCTAATTTAAGAAAATTTCCAAAATTATAATTTTGGAGACTGTCTAATACTAAGTGTTGGAAGAACTTGAGAGTTTTGATCTCTTTCTCTTTCTCATTATGGTTTATAGAATTATATTGATTTGCTAATGGTAACTTTCTGCCTTTAAAACATATCAGAAGGAGAAGAGAAGTTGATTCCATTGGCTGAATAGGAAATCATAGGTTAAATTCAGAGTTTTCCTTGGTAACAACAAGGAAACAACAACAAAACGTATTCTTGAAGTTGCAAGCACATTTTTAATTGTTTTCCTTCCACTGATAATATGCCATGCAATTTATTTCTAACTAATCACCTAACTCTCAAGATTGGGTTTTGAGTGGATAAGATACTTAGAATAACTACATTGTTTGTACTTCTCTGGTTTCATTCAGTTATGATCTTCACAACAATACTTTTATTTATTTATTTTTAGCTAAGGCAAGCTTCACAGATGCATTTTAATTCTGGCCTGAAAATTAGGACAGTAGGTTTGTACCTCATTCTTCCTGAGACCAGACTTCATTGATATGCTGAATAGTAACTGCCTTAAAAGCAAGAAACCAAGTGTTGTATAATATGGGAGAAAATGCATAAATGAAAGAAATCAGCAAATGCATAGATAACATGTCTCATGTTAAGGGCAAAGATGGTTTTGTTTTGAAAAACTTCTTGTCTTCACAGCTGAGTCCAAAATCTTTTTTAAAGTTCTCAAGATTGCATTGTGCTTCAACTTTTATTAAACACAAACACACAAACACACACACACACAAACATACACACAAACAGACATACAGAGAAAGAAAGAGAGTGAAAGTGAGAAAGAGATTATTCTCTTTCCTTCCTCAATACTACCACATTATGAGGAATATCACTGCCTCATATTTTTTTAAAAAATGGGGGGCTTTTTTAACTGTTCACAATTTCTAAATCAAACAATTCTTCTACCATTTTCATCCTGTTCTTTTAAAAGTTGTGGTATTATGTTCCTTGTTAAATTATGCATAAGTTCTTCAAGATAAGGTATCAGCTGCAATGATAAAACCATTTACTGCTGACAACAAGATTAATGACTAGTTCTGCACTGATTTCCTACTATTAGCACTCAGTGGATCTATTCCATCTGTCATTTTATAGAAAGAAACGGGAGGGGGAGGGGGAGGAACCTCTGCATTGATTTTATTTCATAGCAACTTTCAGTTTGCCCATCTAAAATCATGGCCTCATACACATTAGTGACAGATCACCGCCAACATACATTTAGTGACTACTCCTTCCAAGTGGATGATGTTGGGATGATCAAATTGTCCCATTATGCTGGCCTCACTCAAAAAGTCCCTTCTTTGTTTGTCTGTGTAGCCAGCTTTCAGAGTTTTAATAGCCACACAGATCTCCCTCTTCCCTGGAACCTTGAGACGGCCACTGCAAACTTCACCAAATTCACCTGCAGGGGGAAAAAAAGCACAATCAAAAGGAATCTGCTGGTACACATACATTAACGCAATTAAGACCTAACTACATTCCTTCCATTACACCCAGAGAAGCTTTTGTCTGACTTAGGCTGCATGCAATCCCAAAGTCCCTTTGCAACTTTCAACTGTGCATTTCCTGTAGATTACATTTACCATCATTTAAAAACTTTCTCCTTCTCTGCCCCCAAAATTAAGCACAATCTGTGGGCACACAAAGATTGTGCATTTTCATTCAAATGAGGATTATATATAGTTTGGTTTATGGTATGCAAACTTCACTTGGATTTATTTTATTATTTGCTCTTTTTGTTTATTTGAAAAAAATACTATAGAAGTTATATAGAAGTTATATTCAATAACTTGTAAAAACAGAAATATAATAGACTTGTTCCAGTCATCTAAATTAATGTGTTGAAACTTAAAAACTGGGTCTCCTCAGAGACACTGTAAACTATTTTATTCAAATGTTTTTGAAAATTGTCTGAAGACTAACAATATAAAGATGGAACAGAATGTTTAAATTAAACAAATTAAACAATTCAACACCCTAGTAAGCCTTCCACCATAATACATTCAGTGATAACATATTGTCTTAAGCTTACCAACACCTATGACTTTTTCAATCTTTATACATGAGGCATCAATTTCTTTGGCAAATTCCCGCACAGCTTGGTTGGGATCCTCATAGGTAAAGGGATCTACATAGGTTCTGACACCTAGAATGCAAATACGGTTTTCTGAAAACTTAAGAATTATATACAAGAAATATCAAGAATTATATACAAGATAGATAGGGAAGGAACATTGCTGCATGTCCACAGAGGATTATAAAAACTAAAGAAAATAATATACTCAAAAAGCCTCATGAATACATTACACAGATGGATGGAATATATTAAAGTCAGATCCTCTAACAAAGACTATACATTAGTGGGAGATGGGAAGATTTTTTCTTGAGTTCCAACAATACGTTTGACTTTTCAGTAGCTTACATCAAGAACAACAATGAGTATGCTCATCCTTAAATTTTCTATTAATTCCTCTGTCCATGTAGAAAGAAGTCCAATGGGACTTAAAGAAAGGAACAATTCTTATTAGTTCTACATCTTAGGAACCTTTTCATCTATTAATCATTAAAAATAATATCTATAAAAAAATTGCAATAGCATGGAAAAGATAAAAGGTTAATACTTTCTGTGTTCAAATACTACGCTAAATCATATTTGCTTAACTATATTTTGACAATCTTAAATGGCCTGAATTAATCCAACTTGTTATGCCATAAATCATGATATACATTTTTTAATAGCTTGGGCCATACAATATGTTAACAAACAAACCACATTACATATGAAGGATGTAACATGTAATTCCAGATTGTATATGCCAAGCCTCAGAAGGTTTTTTTTTTTTTCAAATGAAATACTTTACTTTAAGTATCATCTGAATACTATGTAACAGGATTCAGCTTTTATTGGAATTTGTATGCATATAAATTTTCTGCAGCAATTTTGAGGTTACCCATAATAGAAATACAAATTCACAATTTGAATAAAAAAAGCTCCAAGTAAAGAAAAATAAGCAATAGAACTTGCAAAAAAAAATGATTCTTTTTGCTCTATATAGACTAGCTTTAAAAATGCATGCAAAAGAAGAAAATCAAGGGCTGCAAATTTTACCTTGATTTAAATGTTTCTCTTCATCTGCTTCTTGCTTAGCTTTACTGTATTTGCTCCTTCTGTAGAAATGGGGGGGAAAGCATTAGAGATTAAAATAATTATCTGATTAATTATCATGCAGAGAGATTTCAGAATTCCTGGGTTATTTTACAGTATATGCCAAAATTTATTCTGTTAATTATTACAGGTTTGGGATAATTTAAGGCCTACCTGAACTATACATTACTATATAATTTGCATTGTACTATTATTATCTGCATCTATAGATACATACAATCAATGGATACTTGGAGAAAATGTTTTGCACCAGTACTTTGCTACAAAACAATATACTTCTATGATCAGACTCATTTGTTTTGATATCTGCTAATCAAAGAGTACGGTGGTACACACATCTGTGAGTTACATTTGTTGCCAGATGGCTTATAAATATTATTCAAGGTGCTGATTATCACATATAAAATCCTTTGTGGCAAAGTGCCTAGTTACTTTAAAACTGCTTATCTCCATATTCTACACATTCAGCAAGCTACGGCAGACTGAAAGCAATTCAGGTCCTCTCAATTAAACAATGTCAAGTGTGCCTGTTGCAACATTGTCTCTCAGTAATAGTACTGTTCCATAAGATGTTGGAAAACTGCTAACTCTCCCACACCATGAGGTAGGATGGTGGTGACCCTTCTAATATTTGGTTTTGCTTGGCATACTTTTTAAGACAAATGAGCGGCGTGGTGGCCTGGTGGTGAAGATCCTCGCCTTCCACTTGGAAGGTTGAGAGTTCAATCCTAGGTAGCGGCAGATGTTTCCTAGGGTGCAAAGAAAAAATATCTGCTGCAAACTCTGCATGGTGTCAGGAAGGGCATCCGGACAGTAAATGCTCAGTTCCATCCAGTCACCCCCAACTCTACCCTGAATTAAGGATTATAAGGTCATAAAAGGAAGGGTGTTTTTTTTTCCTTTATAGGACAAAATTTTGTTCTTTTACTTTATTATTCTAGTTTTAACTATGTAATGTATCCAGAGTCACTGGGGGAGGCGGGGTTTCCTAGCATTTAAAAATAAACACTTGTGAATAAATGTAGGGAAAGGCTGGAGTTAATTATTATAGCCATCAGATTTTCAAATAAAATAGCTGGTTGTTGGCTGGTATTTGGGCAGTGTTTCAATGGCAACTACTAACATGTACTTGATTAAGCTGTTTATACTTTGCATAATGAAGCCTCAAGACTATTCATATTATTGTAATATGTGGCGTATCTTTAATCTTCAACGAATCTTCAGTGAAGATTAAACAAGCAAAAGCAGCAAAGACATAGAAATGTAACACAATGTTTAAGGAAGGGATTTTCACACAAATAACCATGTGACCCTAACATAGATCTCCATAAATTCTTAGGATGCCAGGATTCAGTTCAGGGAATGTTCTTTAAATACAAGTCTCATTAGATATAATTCAAAACATTCTTATTCTGACATCATGGTGTTTAGTCTTTTTCTTCTTTTTGCTCTTATGGGAGCTATTAATATTTCCCAGCATCATGGCATCGATAGTTATCTTCAGGAATAGTTTGGAATACACCGAATAGACAACAATGAAAGTATCAATCACTTGTAGCCAACTATGATATTCTTTCAAAAGTGTTAAGCCAGCTAGTCAAGCCATAAAACATTGGAATGACAGGCCTTGCAATCTTTACACATTTCAAAGATATCAAAATAGCTAAAGTTGATTACACTATTTTAATTATGACTAAACAGATATTTTCAAATAAAATACTAAAAAGATGCCACAGGAAGACACAAAGTAATACCAAATTTGATGTCTCTAAAAGTGTCATGAACAAAATTCAATCTGCATGCAAACTATGCTCCTGAGGCTGTGGAGTCCTGCATCATAACCATGGCAAATTTTCACAAGTCCATGACAGTTTAAACATTATATCAACATTTCAATCAGAATCTTGACACAAACACATAGATTTCTGTTCAAATATGGGAGAGAAAAGTTTACCGTGCAAACATATATAGGTTTGTTATGTACTTAATCATAGTAAACAAGCTGCTGACTTTAATATATTCCTATCATGCCCTATAATGATTGGAATAAACATTTTTATATATTTATGAATGATACATTGTTCAGAGGAAATAAACCTAATAAATATTTTATCTTCAATTAACAAGAGCATCTAAAAAACCCAAACTCTAAAGAAGGGGCAAGTGAAAGAGGGCAGGGACTTCTTTTAGTCTGTTAATTATACCCTATTAAGGTCTAACAGAGGCTTCCCAACCCACTCGTTACTTAAGTTCTATCTTTATCACCTGTTGAGCTTTTACCCAGAATTGGAGACTACTGGGGCTTTTTGTTTTGAAAAGATACTCCTTTCTTTCTTCCTCCCTTTTGCTTGTTTAATCATCAGGAGGGTCTGGAAAATGCTCAGGATGCCTGAGGAATGCTGGACACAAACTGACATTTGTAGACAGCTTACCTGAATGACAGCAAAGGAGGCTTTTGTCATATTCAGTTCAATAATTACAGGGATTTGGGTGACAGTGGTTAAATGGAAGGCGGGGTTCAGGAAGGGAATACAAGCGCTGTGAAAAAAACCCTAGGGGTCAGAGATGCAGGCAAGTCTACAGGTGGGATTTAGAGATAAAGAAAAGGTGGGTCTTAAAGCTGGCGGGCACAATGCAGCACATGACAAAAAGTAAGTGCCAAGGGTATTAGCAGGTATTATAAAGAAGCAGCATGCAATCTACATTCTTCTTTCCTAGTCAATGCATCAGTTTGCAATGTCAGCATTCACAGAGTAAAGTGGAAACACAAAGACCAACAAAAAGCTTAAAGAAGCTTGGATACTCTGTTGAATTAGAAGAGTGTGACCATACAAGTTTCCCCAAATTATCAGTACAAGGCAATGGAACTCTTAAGTTACTGAATTCTAAATTATTTGATTTAGTGATTATAATAAACAGCAATACATCACTTAATAAGATGAAATAAAACACATCAAACTATTCATTTTCCTTTTTTAAAGAATAACCAATGAAAACCTCTTACTGAACAATTTTCCATTTCTTTTCTTTTAACCAACTACCTTTTATTTACTAACTATATTGTATTATATTATATTGCCCATTCAAGGGCAATATAATACTGATATAAGCCTTAGAATATAGTATAAACATATAATAAAAAAACCCAAACATATTACAAACCAAAAAATAGTGCAAACAAAAAACTTTTTATCTAAATAAAATGAAATACAGAAGACAATCAATAGAATTGATTCTGAGATTAACGAAACGTAAGTAAAATGCATGGTTTAAAATAGCTTTGTTTAATGGAAACTGTTGAGATCTATTGTTTCTATTGAATTGCCATACATCATATCCTTTGACAGGCAGTTAGTTCATTTTTCCTGCATAATATGTGACATTAGCACTGGTATCATGTCAGTAATGCAAAGCTTTACTGAAGAAATCGAACCTTGTAAGAATGGGTACCTTTACATAAAACCACAACATCTCTGCTCGATCAGATCAATGATGCATTTGAGAAAGCTAAATAAACAGAGGAGGTGATAGCCCTCTGTGGATTCCCAGCTGCTGGAATTTAAAGCATGATATCCAGTATTCAGGCAATATACATATTTAGGTATACAGGCATTAATAGTTTTAATCCTATTACTTTCTGAAATCTCTTTTTACAAATAGCTAAATTTAAGGTCAGCACAATTTATTGTAGAAATAAATTTTATAAGTACAATAACTTCAGTGTGAATCTGTCTATTATGCACAACTTTTCAAATAGAAGTCCAGAATGTGCAAATATGAAGTAGGTCAACATTAAGTAATCAGCATCAGCATCAATAAGCTATTGGTATAACACAATAAGTATAATATAATTATAAACTAGTTCATATGTATATAAAGTAACGAAGAAGTAAGCTATTTATAAACTCTGAATACTTCATGTTTCAAAAGAGTTGACTTCCAGGTAATTTCTTCCTCCTGCAGATTATCAACACTTTCAAAGATGGTATCACTGACAACCTATCAGGTGATGAACTCCATATGGCTAGCACATATAGAACCATATGGATCAAATCAAGTATCTATTTGATTCAGTATTTTGGGTCAAAAGTTGTCTACTGATCTCTTTGGGAAGCCATGAGTAGCACAAAAGTGTATCAACACATTTCAGTTCCTGGCACTGACAGACAAGTTGCATTTGATAACTATCAAGATCAATACTCATAAGTTCAGTTAAAAATGTTTTCTCCTAGTGTGTGTGTGTGCGCATGCATGTGCATGTGTGCGTGCACGCCTATAAGTGCATGCATGCACTGTAAGCAATTTAGCTTACAAGTACATTTATATTAAAGAAAAAAGAGAGGGTAATGTATTAAATCTAGCTTCAGGAAATAATTGTTTTTGCTTCAACACAGAATGTGAAAATCTTACATAGAAACTCTTTTATCTTTAATAGTTTTTAACAGTGCTCTGCACAACTTTAAACATCTGTTACATACCATGATATTTGTGTTTCAATTTCAGAGCAACACACTTCAATTCAATGGCTATTTGCATACTTTTATAATAAACTCACAAGCAGTGGGGCCAAGCATCCAAGCTTTTTATAAACCACTTATTTGTTTTTGTCAAATAAGACACAATCATATACATATCAAATCAGTTATCTGGTTTCAGTTTTATACTGATATCAAAGAGAATCAATAGGAGGCCAAGGGGCTGACATTTCATTTTCTAAGAAGTGATCCGGTGAAGTCCAATTACTAGAGTATGTTTATCTGACTTCAGAGGTGGTAATTTAAATAAAATAAAAATGAGGAAGTGGGATAGGAATTATCTTAGAGAAACTCAACAGGAACAATTCTCTAAGGTGCTGACTTGTAATTAGAAATCCAAAGCATCTAAGTATCAATCCTGTCTTAAATAATAAGGCAATCAATAAAAGCAGGGGGGAATTCAAGTCACCAGGCTCAGCAACACTATTTTCTGTTGGAATAGCTTTTAATAAAGCTATCTCTCTCTGCTGCATTTTCATAAATTATTTTTCTCTTATCAGCATGGAAGCTGGGGAAACAGCTAAACACCTACTGAAATCTATTAGAGTGATGGCTAGTTCTCAGTTTTTATAACTGCATGGATTATATAACTGCTTTTGTTTTTTTCAGAAAAATAAAAAATAAAAAGGAAGCATATAAGAATACATTAGAAAGTATAAGATTTTATTTACATAATCCTGGATTATATCATCCAGTTTAGATTCTCATTTTCAATTGAATTTATGAGTAGACTAGAAGCAGATCATGACACTAAAAAAAATTTTGTTTAGTATCTTAGTGTTCCAAAAGAAAATATTCAGAAATAAAGCTTGAATCACAGAGCATATGGACCAGGAAATGCTATGTTAACTAGCATTGGATATTGACCTTTCTCAATACAGTATGAATAATATAGCTTTCTGTTTTATTTACTGACTTTATTTACTGTTTACTGGAGCAACATTCCATCACCCCCAAGAAAAGAGCTAACCAGTGCCAAGCACTAAAACTTAAAATTTGCCATCTTGAGCCAGGGTACTTTTATGGTCATTAGAATTGTAATACAATCTTAGAAATCTTTCAGTAGCATGGAGCCAAACATATTCATTCAATCTAGGAAAGTATTATATATATGCATACCCTATTACTATTATTATTTTGAAGGATGGGAGGAAGCGATGGATTTATCAATCCTTTTCATTGAAATGAAACAGGACGTCTGTTGGAATTAATATCCTCTAATGAACAATGGAACATATGGGGCAGTGGAACAGGCTGCTATTACTTCTGCAGTATAGCATAGTAATTTTTAGGGGTATGCAAAATGTTTTGAATTTGAACCATTTTGAATTTGAAACAATTCATCTTGACTTCAAAATGTCCTGCTTCAAAGAGAAACAGCTGTTTCAAGTGTGAAATAGGCTGTTTCTCTTAGAAGTTGTTCTGAATTTGAAACAGAATGTTTTACTTCTGGAACAGAGATGTTTTCTTCTTGAAACATTTCCACAATGGTTCAGAGCAGCCTATTCTGCATTGGAAAATAGTAGTTTTGCACTTGTATCAGTGGGTGTTTCCAATTTAAACCAGAATGAATTTCAAGCCCTATGCACACCTCCAATTTTTATTTCTACAGTTTATGCATCATATATCACAGTTCTAAAACCTCATTTTTTTCTCTCTCTCTGTTCAGTGGACTACTGGGAAAAGGGCAGGAAAATCTTGGCAGAAGTAGAATAGCTTTGTAAGCACTTTTAAAATGAGGGCAAAAGCCACATAAAATTCAGTAATAGGCTGTCCAACCTTGTTTTAATCCTATCAAAATTTGTATTTGATATCCATACATTAAATAAGATAACATCAGTAGATTAGCAATATACTGTGAATTATTTGAAGTATCTTTACATTTTATTTGATTGTTTAATATTTATCGTTAATTCTTAGATTATAGATTCTTACAAACCACTAAATTATTTCTATTCAGCCATGGAATGGGAAGAAAAAATAAAAATAAAATTTGGTAATTTGAGAAATCACTTTTGGTATAATCTGAATAAAGTGATATATATATATATAGTAGATCACCTAAATGATTCATTCCAATTCTTTGGTGCTAAAAGAATAAATGGTACACGTTTCTTTATTAATATATCATACTATATTATTACTATACAGTACTCATCTTCATTTGGGAAGACAAGTACAGAAAATAAAAAAAATGTAATAAAATATATTCCCAGCATTCATCTATAAAATATTTAATTTTAAAAAATAGATCTGGAAATGAAGAAAAGCATGGGAATTATAATCAGTCATTGTTTGCCCCATTGTTTACAATTTTAAAAATTGTGAAAGATTCCCTGACTTTAGCTATTGTTCAATAGTGTTTAAAGAATGAGCATGGGTTTTTTTTTCCTTTTAGTATCAAGACTTTATTTTCTTGGAACTAAAATGAATGGGTTAAATGCTAGCAATAGAGACTCTAAAGCAGTGATGGCAAATCTTTTCAGAACTGAGTACCCAAACCGGAACATGGGTGCACCGGACTGCCGAAAACCCAAAGATCAGCTGGCTGGTGTGCACCTGCCTGTTTTTTGGCCATTTTGGGGGGCATTTTCAGGCCATTTGGGGGGCATTTTTCAGACCAGTTTGGCGTGAAAAACGGTCCAAAAACAGCCTGAAAGGGGCTTGACAAACAGGGTAATTTTGGGCCATTTTTCAGGCTATTTGGGGCCATTTTCAGGGCCAAAAATGGCTCAAAAAACAGCTCAAAAACTGCCCAGAAACTGCCCAGAAAAATGGCCCCAAAATAAACTGTTTTTGTGTGTTTTTTTGGCCATTTTTAGGCCATTTTCTAGTGCTCCTGTGCCCCCAAAGACCAGTTGGAGATGGTGCCCATGCCCACGGAGACGGCTCTGCATGCCATCTCTGGTCTGCATGCCATAGGTTCACCATCATTGCTCTAAAGCAACAGAAGCAAAATGTGAGAGAGATCACTTTTTGTATACATCAAACCTTTATTCTAAAAGAAACATAGAAAATTGACTGCAGAAAAAGATCTGGTGGTTCATCAAGTCTTCCCTTTGAGTTTTTGGGGGTTTTTAAATTTTTATGTTTGCTTTCAATTTTTATTTTTTTTATTTATTAATTAATCTTTGTTGAACCTTCTACCTGTCTTCTTACTGCTTCCCTATCTCATTCTCTCACTTCCCTCCAGCCAGATTGCTTGGTAAGAAACAGATAAATCTTTCCAGAGATCTTCTTCCACTTTCCTCATCATTCCATTAACTTCCTTCTGTGCCCTTTCTTTTAATTGAATTCCCCACTTAGAGAAGAATTGCCTTCAACTTCCACTGTGTAATCCTGTTCTTTCCATATCTTCTTTCTCTGTCCCTCCAAAATTTCCACAATTAGTTGAAACTGAACCAAGAGAATTATGAGGTATTTCTTGCCTCCAGAAGTTGTGAATGTTCCAACAGAGGAAGTTTTTAAGAAGATGTTGGATAACAATTTGTCTAAAATGCTATAAGGTTTCTTGTCTATGCAGGGGGTTGGACTAGAAGCTCTCCACGGTCCCTTCCAACTCTGTTATTCTATTCTATTATTGCAAAAGAAAAAGAACTTACTTGTCTGACAGCCCTAAACCCTTTTCACTTACAGATGGTAGTAAGTTCCAAATATGCTATGAACATTTCAAAGAAATAATTTTTTATCTAATATTTTTTCCTTTCTTCTTTTGCCCAAAAAGAAAGCAAGATAATTTATGGTCTGAAAAAAAGACCCTTTTACCTGTGAAAGTATGATTAAAAGCTTTCTTTTCTAGGACTTTTAATTTAACCTGGCTGGTATACCCACTATGGAATTTATAAGTGTCTTCTGTGTTCCTCACAGCTAACAACAGCTGATTTGGCCAAATACAGAAGTGATTAGAAAATCAAAAAAAGGCATTCTTTTTTCCGGGTATACGCTCAAACACAGGAGCTTGTTTCATTCCATCTCCCCAGAACCCCTCCTCTGGTCTGGCACTCTTAGCACAGAACTCATCAACCCAGAATACTGCATTCATTAAATTCTACATCAAATTACAGTCTCTCTTCAGATCTCAAGTTGCTGGCTTGCATCTTAAAACCTCCCACCACCATCCCCATAGCTAGAAATGATTTTGCATCTGAAGAGCAAATAATTCTAGAACAATTACCATTACATTACATGCTGCTGTAGTACTGATGCTGAGAAGATCAAAGCAACACAGGAGAAGTCTTGTAATGCAAATGCAGTATTTATGATGCTAATCAAAGAATTTAGCTTTGTTTCAAGGAGGCAAAAAGCTCCCACATGAAAGAAAAGGGGAAAGAAAGGGAACTTAACCCTTACCTCCTACTGATGACAAAGGCAGCAATGAGAATGACCACGAGGACAACACTGCCAGCCACTGAGACCAGAAGAACGGTGGGATTGGTGCCTTCTCCAATGATGGGAGAAGGAACTAGAAAAAAAACACACCAATATTTGTTAAGATTCTACAGTTATATCACAGATAGGAATAGCACAGGATCAGACAGTGCTATGTTTGTTTATGTGAAGATGAAGACATTTCATCTTTGTCAGACTTTGTACAGAATTATTCTGTCACCTTTTCAGTAGAAGATATTCATTTGCAATTCTTCTCCAGGAAAGCCGTCATTAGTAAAATACATTATGCTCCATAATGAATTTTGGGAAAACTCTTCAGTTTTCTCCTTTCACTTTTACTCTTGAGAATATAATGGCTGATTTAGTGCCTGCTGAGCTGTTTCCCTTTTTATTTAATTTAAAATGGACCAGATGCTCATTCCTTGACTATGAGCAAGAGAAAGACTCAAACAGAACAAGATGTTTTCCACTGTCTTTAGCGACAAAGAGCAGTTCATATTCTCACATGCTCTGCCTGAGGGTTGTTAACACTGAACAGCAGAACCTGAAATGATTAAAATTTCTCCATGCAATGAACATTAAGCATCTAATCTCTCCTGTTATTTCAAGAAGCAACTATGTTTTTTTAACATTTGTCCAACAGACACACACTTGCACAAAACAGACATTTTATTTCTCAAATTAATCAAAGAAGAGAAAATAATAGCTAAATCTAAAACAGTCCATCATTATATTGAACAGTTTTCTTCCTTGGCCAAAAAAGGGGAGCAGAATGGCAGTTGGCCTTGATTGTCTGATTGTTGGCGAATGAACTGCAATAGGAAGGAAGTGAAGATTCAGAGCTGTTAGCTACTGGCTCATCTAGCATGATTACTTCATGGTTCTCTAGGATTCCATATATTCTCATTCCTAAATGTGGTATACATTAGAAAAAGCCCAAGGTATATTGAAGCCTGAAGTCAAGGACAAGTTGACACCCTCATCTATCCAACATATAGGCAAATTAACTGGACTGACAATTCATAAATGGCTCCTTATTATTGTTTTAGGGACCTGTACATATGCACAGTATACGAAAAGTAAAGAATGTTCAAAACTTCTGTGTCAAACAAGTACAGAAGTATTTAGGGGGAAAAAACAATTCTTACATTAATATAATTTATAATTGTCTATGTGGCCTGACTTTTAGTATACTTTGCAAATCTACTATTAGTCAATAAATTGAATAGCAAAAATAATATATGTTTTCTCATTAAAATATTAAAGACAGCTTGCCTGTAATGTAAAGATAACAATGAAGGTTAGAGAGATTACGTTGTTATTTTATTTCCTCTCTTTTGCTTCTGGCATTCTAAATCTATGAACTCAAGTTTATACCTGTGTTTGGAAGTCTCAAATCCTGAAAACTTCTAAACATAAGTGACTCAATATAATCCAAGGATCTATCACAAAAAAAGTAGATATGAGGATGTTGAAATTAAAAACCGATATTTCCATCTCTGGTAATGTCTTTTTTCATCCCTGGAAAAGGTTTGTTGAGTGTAATGTGGACAGAGTAAAGGAAACAACATCCTTCTATTTCAGGTGCACACAAAAGATCACACTTTCAATTGGACTCTTGGTAAAAGCAATAAAAACAACAAAAACACATGAACACAGCATCTTTTTGTTTTCTTAGTCAAAGCTTGGTAATGAATTCCAAACCACCACCAACAAATCATTCATATTCCACTCAAGTGCATACAATATGCTTTTCAAATAGTGACAAGGGAAAATGCCTCCATTACCCCAGTGAGAGATCTATTGTTATTACCTGTGTTGGTTGTGAATTCAAACGGTCCACTGAAGTCTCCATATCCAGCTGCTGTCCTTGCTCGCACATGAAAGACATATGAAGTTAAAGGATTCAAGCCCTTGATATCGGTATTTCTGGTTGCTGTTTTCACAATGCGATAGCTACGCTCGTTTTGGTCCTAGCAAAGAGACAGAAAAATAAAAAGGAGGAGGGAAGTGAGTAAGTAGGTCCCCTGAAGGTCTTGAATCTTTGTATTTTACTTATTAGGAAATATAGTCACATTTAGATAATGAATGTGATTTTTCTTTTAGCGTTTCTATTATTAGCTTTAACGACATGAGTGTTATTGAGTTTTATATTTTGTCAGAGGATTTTTCTTGCCTGAAAAAGCAAAGAGGATATCTATAATTTAAGCTCTGCTGAGAGAAAAGGCAAGAAAGAATTTTTTGATAAAATAACAAAGAAGTTGTCATCCTTCTCCTGATGAACTAACAATGTTTTATTTCTAGCAGTCCTTTCACACATTATCCCTTTTCCTTTGCAGTATAGAACTATAAATCCCAAAGTAACTGAAGAGATGGCTGCCAATCTTCTCCAACCTTTTTCTGCTTTTCTGCCTGGCAAATACCTCAAGAAAAAAAAATACTGTAATCTTGTTCCAGGGAAAATATACAAGTCACTTTTTATACAATTAGGAAAGGAAATAAAGAGATTTTATTAAAAGACATGTAAAGAGAGAAACAGAAGGAAAAAGTAATTGTTCATTTTGCAGACAACCTTGAGAGGAAATAGATCTTTTCATAGTTCTGAAATGGAGGAGCAACAAATTATATTATAGAAATAACAATTCTGCACAATTTAGAAGAGGTGAAGAATGTAATTTTCTTTTCCTTATTTCCTATTAAAATTTATTAAATCCCCACTATCATTCTGGGAAAAAGCTATCAGCTCATACAGAGTTCATTATTACTGCGTTATATACTTCCTTATTACACGTCTGCTTCTGTTGTAAGGCTAATGTTGCACTGCTTCTCTGTTCTATTGATTCTCATTACAAATAGCTTATTAGGATCAGACAGTTCCTAGAAAAAGAAAAAATGCCCACCACCACTATCTACTAAGGAAAAAAATATATGTGCAAGTTGTTATTCAGTTCAACTCCTTAGATATACAACTTGTCAAAATGGGTATGATTATAAAACCATTTTTTCTTAATAAAGTCCTTTTATGTGATAATAACTGTGGGCTTATTTGGCTCAGGGATCAAACATTATGGTGAAATGGGATTTATCCATAATGAATAATAATACCTTTTCGTAGTATTTGACTTCATATTCCAAGATGACTCCGTTTGGCCGGTCAGGTTCCAGCCAAGCCAATGCCACACTGTGCCTTGTTATTTCCTTAGCTTGGATCAAAGCAATTTGAGAAGGAGCTACCAATAAAGAAAGATTGGGAAATATCAGGCAATGTTGTCAGAAGAAATCCAAGTATTGAATGATGTTGGAATGTTTTGATTTCTTTAGCATACACATATATCCTCAACGTATCAAATAATACAACTCAGAACAGTTCTAGCTTTAGGCATATTGGCACGACCGACAGTTTATTAACTTAGTATTTCTGCACTAAATTATATTTTAAACCCCTGGGCTTTGATGGCTCCTCCTTTTTTGTTATGCTGATTTTATGGCCTTATGCCAACTCTCTTTTAATACAAGTATTTTAATGAAGTCTTTCAAACTATTCTGGCAAGGGAAAATAATGAAATATTGTTGAGTGACATCAGCAGTACAGTTTAATTGATTAATTGTATCTGCTGATTACATCAGGAAACTGAAACTAGCAAAAGAATCTATGTTGTGAGGAAGGATTAAGTGATATCACACACACAAATAAGATAATCGTTGGTGAGATGGAGATATTTCCTCTAAATCAAGCATTATTTCAAATAATTTCTTTCTTTTCTCCAATGACTTCTGGGTGTCTTTTTAACTGTTATTCTAACTTCTGCCTAGAGAAATTGAGGAAATAACAGAAAAAACCAATGCCAGGAAAAACATTAGACCCTATAACTGAAACTTGTGCATCATCATGGAAGAGCAAATGGATAGGTGACATGCCATGAATTATGATATTATCATACAAATGGTGAAAAATATGTATGTATTTTTAATCATGATATATCTGATGCGGATTACATAATGTATCATGCCACAAATGATGGCATTGTGGCTTTTACTCACAACAATTTTATATGACCTAAATGTTTTCCTTCCCTCATACTAACTAGCCAGGTCTTCTAAATTTTTTCTGGGGCCTTCTCAAACACTCTGCCATTGTCAGGCAATCAGAAATGTCAAGAAAATGATATTATAGAATCCTTGTCTCAATTTTCTCTTTAAAATGAATTTTAAGCAACCATAAAACTGTATCCGATGTAGCGAAACAAGCTATTTTACTTGCTGCTTGAATTGGTTATATTGATTATATATCTTATGTGGCACTTGGGACAGAGATCATGGAGACAATGTGGAAGTAGTCCAAGTATATAAATTTGAAATGGTTTTAGAATCAAGAGGTACAGGAAACCTGTCTGTTATTAATCAAAAAGCTTTCCACGTTATACATATACAATTTATTTTTAGTTTTTTAGATTATTTCTGGTTTTAGTCTAGTGTAATAAATAGAAGTACAAATTATAATGGCCAACATTTCAAACCCATAAACACAGAACTAAAAGCCGTTCGCATGTAACATCTATTACTTTTTTCATTCCCCACCCTAATACCATAAGCTGTCAGCTCTTCTGAACATAAGAGCCAGTTTACTTCCAATTCAGCTGTGGCTCAGCAGGAAACATACTCAATACATTTATATTTAAAGTTGGCTTTTCAGAATTAAAACAGTGGACCTGTTTTCCACTGGCAAGGACTGTGCTTCCCAGTTCTTAGGCTGTCCCATTTCCCTGCTAAGAAACAAAGCTGTTGTACTTCATACAAGCATCTTAAGGTGTCTTTCATTTGTCAGACAAGACAATGACTTGGTAGTTTGGCAAGTTTCCAACAAACCAACAAAAATGACAAACCTGGACAGGGGTAAAGGAGTAAGGTGCTAGTCATTTCTTGTCTTTGCATTTTGCTCAGCTGCATTTTCTCATGCAATGTTATTAATACTTCAGGAATAACAATGCTGAGGGGAACTGCAATTGTGTCAACATGGCTTGGTACTAGAAATAGGGACCACGTGAAAGTGTCCAAGACAATTTATTTCACCTTGACCTTTTTGTCTCGTTTTCATCCCTTTTCCAAAAGACAATAGATTTCTTAACAATTTAACCAGTATTATAAAATTGATTAAATTCTAAGCTTTCTTTTGAATTATATATTTAAATGCAATACGGAATACTAAGATAAAACAAACAATGGAGTAAATAAGAAAGAAATGTATCAATAGAAGCTTCTGAAGGTCTCCTTTATGGTATAATTGGTGCCTGAACTTCAGATGTTTAAAAGGCCAGGAGACAATGCTGCTTCCCTTAACTATGACAGAAACAGATTCGTAGTCCTACTGGACGGATGGGCTTTCAGAAGATTTATGATTCAAGCTTCCTGGTCCTTATTTTTCTGTTACTGTGTGGTCATGTCTCTAACCAGCTGTTATCAAGTCCTGCCACAACTGACACAGCTTTGATACAAATGGTGGTGGTCTCCAGGGAAGGACAGATATTTTTTTTTATCTTATCAGCAAAAGCTGTGCTGTATACCCAGAGATTAGACAGCTTTCCAAATTGAATATATTCCTTCCTTTGTCCCTTAAAAAAAACACCTAGAAATATGCAGGTGCTTATTTTTGAAACAAACAAAACAAAACCAGCAATCAACAACCATCTGAACATTTATTAAAACCTTTCAATAGAAATTATAATATAAATACCCCATAAAAAGGGAATGAATGAACAAAAGAAAGAAAGAAAGAAAAGAGAGAGATATATACAAATATATGTAGGAAGATATGTGTATCTTATTTTATGTTATTCTATATAATTTGTAAATCTCAAGGAACACTTTAAATAACCATATAAATATATGTCACAAGGAATAACAATAAAAATTGGACATGTAAACTTCAGAATTACTTGACATATCAGACAGACCTGATGGGAGAAAAACTAAGCAGCAGGCACTCTCTGTCAGGAAGACTGTTTTCTGATCTACATTTTGACAGTTTGGCATCTCTGTTAAAAATTATTCTGGAGCTTTGCTTCTGCATCCTTCAGCACATCTGCCAACCTGTCTGTTTGTTCCTTACCCTAAAACTTATGTGCATGAAAATATACTGAGTGACAGAAACAGGAGTGGCAGGATCCATTAAAATGGATTACATTGAGTTATTTACATGAAGTAACCAGTATCAACAAATAGAATTATACTAATTCGATAACCCAATTGTGACCCTGACACAAGGACAAAATTTGTTGCAGTGTTTTTGCATTTATTTGCAAGTGTCAACGCTCAATGAAGTAAATCTACCATCCACTTCAAACAAGAAGAAATGAGTGACAATCCAGCCATAAAATCACATTTTCCAGTTACTCAGTATCTCTTGAAGACCACTTGGATTACTCTTTCATGTAGGAATATTCATTGACTGATCCCAGCAATCTCTGAGTGAATTTCACTTTTCTTTTTCTCATCTCCATATAGTCACAGATATTTTACTGTAAAATATCCCAAAATATTTTAGCTGAAGGAGTTTTCTCCTGGTATCATTCAGATATATTGCAAGTACAGCCAATGTGATTTTAGAATGACTGCAATTAATGATTACTAAACACAAAAGAAGATGCTAGGATAAGGAAGATTTATCCAAAGATTCATTTCTGCAGTAAAAGTACTGTGCTGTTCATAAGCAAACACTGACCACAAAAACTCCCTCTGTTTATGATTAAACTTGTAACGTCCCAGACAAAAAAAAATAAACAAGGTGTTCATTTCATTCTTTCATTTTTGTCTCACTTTCAAATATTTTATCCATTTAGTGTTTTCTGAGGAGCATTTCACCCAAACCTCTAGCTAACATCCACTACTGTAAGTCACTTTAGAAGTATATATTTTATGTGCAACTGAAACGATTCCATTCAGTCGTCTTTTCCTTAACCTTTCTATATTAGTAAAAAAAATAAAAAAATATGAAGGGCTGTAAAATGTCAGACACTGATGAGCCATGGTGGTGCAGTGGTTAGAGTGCAGTACTGCAGGCTTCTTCTGCTGCCTGCTGGCTGCCTGCAATTTGGCAGTTAAATCTCACCAGACTCAAGGGTGACTCAGCCTTCCATCCTTCTGAGTGAGTAAAATGAGGATCCAAATTTTGGGGGGAAATATGCTGACTCTGGCTTAAAGTACTGTAAAGTTGTGTATAAGTCTAATATAGCACTTTTAGTAGCACATCCCACTTGGCTGCACTTGCACCTGCCCACAATTATCTTATACTGATTGCCTCTACTGGATTGCAGTGCTTAACTGTGTATCACAGTACCACGTTGCTCAGTTGCACTAGCGCCATGCCATACTGTCCACCCATTGTCCACCTACCAATTTGTTTGCGAGAAACCTAAAGAAAAACTTGACCTGACTTGAACTTCCTATAAGTCCACACTGACATTGCTTGCTGGAAACCAGCAGGAAGCAAGCTCTGGTCATATGACATCCTTGCATAATGACTGCAATCCTCACTTAATGATGGCAACAGGGAGTGAGAGGATTGTCATCCTGATACTGTAAGATACCAGAAATCATTTTACAGCAGGAGAGCTCTGTCATTCAATCTATCAACTTCTGGCAAAAGGATTCGATATCAGGTATGAGAAATATTCCTTTCTGATGGTTAAACCACATATAACTTTAAAATAAAACAGAAGAAAATAGGAAGAAAAACAGAAACTTCTTTTGTTTTACTCTAAAGACACTATATCAACATGGAAGAAACCAGCATGCTCTTTTACTTCTTTGAATTACACTTTTTCTAGCTTGAAAAATTGTCTAGAATACCATCTATCCTTTATGATAGCTCTTACCATTGTGATTATAGCTCAAAAAGCTTTTAAGATAGAAGAAAGTTTGATTGTTCCTATCCCAGCTAGGAAAATCTTTCATGATGAGAGTGGTCTTCATGCCTAATGGAAAAGACATAAAATGCTAAACCAGCTCTTTCTTCCTTCCCTGAACTTTTATCAGAGGTCTACAGAGTTGAAAAAGACTGCATGCTAATTTCTCTAATGCTACTTCCTTTCCTCTATATGAAAAGGACGGCCACGAAAGATGTGGGAATTACAATTTTTTTTCAAGTTTCTCCAGTCTTAGCAAATACCTTCCCTGATCTTCTGAAGAGCTTTCAATGGCTTTATTCAACAAATAAGTTATGTTCTTTAGATGA